GGTCGCAGGTTTATAGCATGTTATAGTTTATAGCATTATCTAAAATATAAAGACGGTCCAAATGATTTATATAATGATTTTTTTAATATATACTGCACTGAATTTAATAATGTTTTTGTACCCAAAAAAATCTGTGTTAATGATGCGGTAACTTTTACTAAGTGGGCTACGCCTGGAATTCATAAAAGTAGAAGGACACTTTATGAACTTTATAATGAAAGAAACTGTAACACTAGTGAAAAATTTAAAGAGCATGTTCGTAACTATTCTAAATTGTTTAAAAAAGTATGCCGCTTAGCTAAATCAAATTACTTAAGTTCAAAGATTAAGAACAGTAATGACAAAATCAAAACGACATGGAATATTATAAACGACAAAACTGGAAAATCCAGAACTCGCAATAATAATTATAACTTAAATATTGATAATAAAAGGGTTACTTCAGATATTGAAGTTGCTACAGCTTTCGAAAATTTCTTTACTGATATTCCAGTTTCTACTACTAAATCTTTGAACTCTTCCCCCATTGCTGCCGAATCAATCCTAAGAGAAAACGTGAAACCTTGTACTAGTCATTTTCATTTTAAACATGTTGACTTTAAAGATGTAATTAAAACGTTTCACCAATTAAATAAAAAGAACACCGCGGATCTATGGGGCAATTCCGTTGATGTTTCTAAATCGGTAATTGAGACAATAGCTCCTTATCTAGCTTGCATATTTAATGATTGTGTTGACTGTGGTGTTTTTCCTGACCTCATGAAATACAGTAAAATAACTCCTTTGCATAAAACGGGAAGTACATCAGACCCCACAAACTTTAGACCAATTTCTGTGCTACCCACCTTTAGTAAAATTTTCGAAGAAATTATGTTAGATCAAATGCAATCACATTTTAATAAATATATTATACTTCACTGTAAACAATTTGGTTTTGCACGGGGTCGTTCAACAACCGATGCCGGTGTTGAACTTATACAACAAATTTTTGACGCCTGGGAGAACTCGCAGGACGCTCTAGGTGTGTTTTGCTTTGCGACTTGTCCAAGGCTTTTGATTGCGTTTTTCATGAAACATTACTCAGGAAACTCCACCACTATGGATTTAGAGATACTGATCTGGTTCTTATTGCGTCATACCTGATGAATAGGATTCAGAGGGTTGACATTAACGGCAATAAGCCTGCGGGTTCGCCGGTTAAAATGGGTGTTCCGCAGGGCTCAATCCTTGGTCCTTTCTTATTTTTAATTTATATTAATGACTTGCATTACTACGTTAGAGATAAGCATGAGATAGTATTGTTCGCGGATGATACATCACTTTTTTTTAAACTCAAACGTAAGGAAACAGTTATTGACGACGTGAACAGTTGTATCTCTAAGGTAGTCCACTGGTTTAATGTTAATAATTTATTACTAAATGAAGGAAAAACGAAATGTATGAAATTTGTATTACCTAATGTAAAACAGGTAAAAACCAGTGTGAATGTAAAGGATAGGAATATGGGCCTTGTAGACACCACAGTATTCTTAGGGATTACTTTAGATTCTAAGCTTCAATGGGGCCCACATATTGATAAATTGTCAAATAGACTTAGTTCTGCAGCATATGCCGTAATGAAGATACGCCAGTTAACGGATGTAGATACGGCCAGATTAGTATACTTTAGTTATTTCCATAGTGTAATGTCGTATGGAATTTTATTGTGGGGAAACGATGCCGACATTCAAACTATTTTTGTGCTGCAGAAGAGAGCTATTCGATCAATTTATAATCTTAAAGTTAAGGATTCCTTAAGAGATAGGTTTAAAGAATTTGGTATAATGACGGTCGCATCACAATACATTTACGAAAATTAATTACTTGTAAGAAAAAATATTAATTTGTTTCTTAAAAACAGTGATGTTCACACACTTAATACTAGAAACAAAAATAAACTAAGTTTACCTGCTACTAGGCTTCACAAAATCAATAATTCATTTAAAGGTCTTTGTGTGCGCTTATACAATAAAGTCCCAAGCAATATCCAAGAGTTAAGCATAAATAAATTCAAAGATAGTATAAAAAAAACACTTATTAAAAAGCTTATTACAAAGTGTCTGATTATATTACAGACAAAAATGCTTGGGTTTGAACTGTTCCAATCATTCCAACAGGTGTTCTATATTAAATAAATCATGATTGCATTGTAACAACATAATGATTTGTAAATGTTGTTACATTATTCTTTTAATGTTGTTTAGTTTTTTCGCTTGTTTTTCTCCGCAGCTAAAAAATATATCCAATAACGAGTGGTAGGAAAAAAATGTTTGGACGATTCAAAAGTGTTGTACTATACATTCAATTTGAATAAAGATATATTGATTTCTGATTTCTGATGATTTCATGAAACAACAAATAATCCTCATCTTAGTACCCATTTCATTGTGATTGATACTTGGATTTATTTTTTCTTTATTTAAGTGTAACTTTTATTACATCGCCGCAAAATTTTCGATTCATATTTATTTATTTATTTATTTATTTTATTTATTTACTCTTTATTGTTTTATTACAAATGGCGGACTTAATGCCACATGGCATTCTCTACCAGTCAACCATCGGGCTAAGCAGTTATTTACCATTTAGGTATTTACCATGGCACTTTACATTTTAAATTGTTATTAGATTAGATTCAGACCTCATCTAAATAAATTCAAAACATCTAAAAACACGCCTGTTTGAAATTATATTTAGTTTGACCCATAAAGGAGATTGCTCAGCTTCCATACATGGCCTAAAGACCAATAATCATGAAAAATTGTTTCCTAGATTCGAAATTATATATAAATTACTGTAGAAACGAATATTATTGACGGACACCCCTATAGTTGCCTGTTTTTAAAGTTAATGCATAAGAGTAACTTTTAAAATCAGGTGTCATTTCCAGCTATAATAAGGTACTCTGTGACAGAAACTGTGTGATGATTGTGAATGAGCCACAGATTAGAGAGAATTTTTAAACTCTCGTTAACCAAAGAAAGCTTAGAGATTTAGGTTCTATAGCCATATATTCAGTAGCTTCATTATTTTTTTATGTTTTTAAGATAACCATATTTTAGATTTTTAGTGTATCACACCTTATAATTTTATTTATTTATTAATTTATAGTCAGGGAACGTAGGCCCATAGATAGATACCTTAAAGTCTTACTTATTATATACAGATTATAATGTGTTTATGGAGGTGTTTGGCGATAAATGTATGGCAATAGTTTTTATGATGTCGCCTACCATCTATAATAATTGTCTGAGCACATTTGCATCTTGTAAAAATGATAATATAGTTGTGGATATTAATACCACAGTGTAATAAAAAAATGATTTATTTTATCGATCTTTACAAAATAGATTTATGTTATATAAACAACTTCGATCAGTCTTTGGCTGAATGTTACTACACCCATAGCCATTAAAAATGATTTGTATGTTTTCCAAACCGGTAAAATTAAAAGTCCTTTTTAAAGTAAATATATTATACAAAGGTGTCCGTTGAAATCTAATGACTGTAAATTTAATTATAAATTACGCCAAGAATTACCGTGTATGTCAATATTTTTTGTGCATTTAGGCCAATTTGAGCAATGTCCATTTTATTTTATGAGCATTTTTGTTTACCTGTACGATATAACTTTCACGATAAGATCACCCGGGGTTATTGTTGCCAGGGGCAAATTTAGCTGTTCTTAAATAACTCGTTACTGTTTCGCGTTATTTGCGAAATCTATTTACATATAGGTCGATAAAAATACTTCCATTCCTTTTTTGTTAAAACGAAACAGGGTCAACAAATTATTTGAAACAGCCTACTATTAGAAGGCAAATATAAATATAATATATGAAGATGGTTTTATTTTAGTTTGAAATTTAAAAATTTTATACAAAAATAAAAACATCTTCAAAACCGAAAATGTTACTAGAGGTAAAAAATAATATCCGGAGTCGGGTGGGGCCAAGATTGAAACATATAATAGATTTTCATTTCAAGTCGGTAAGGCAATACGTGTTTCAATATTGACTCCACCTTATTTCCAAGTAATAAACCGGTCATTTTTACTTTCTAGTATGGTACACATACTGTTATTATTATAGTAGGGGAGCCAAAGCGCGGATTTTTGGATTTACTCGAGCGCGGCAGAATAACATATGAGGAGCAACCTTGCACGTAGTTAAGTACTCCCACCATACCTGAGCCATCTATGTAGGGCCGAACGTCTAGGGCAGCAAAAACAAAATTTCAACAAACGACCATGACTTTTGGTCGGGTCCAAATCGTCAGTCTTTTGCATAGAAGCTACTGGAGGGTTCACGTAACATCCCTTTTCAATGTCTGACGCGCTCGGTTATTTTTTCCTATATTGTACCCCTTCGTACGGCCACCCCCATATCATGCAAACCGCGGCAGATCAATATTTTTTCCGTTCTTAGACTAAACGTTACATGAACCCTCTAGTAGCTTATATATTCAAAAGACTGACGATTTGGGCGCGACCAAAAGTCATGACCGTTCGTTGAAATTTTGTATTTGCTGCCCTAGATGTTCGGCCTTACATAGAGGGCTCAGGTATGGTGGGAGTACTTAACTACGTGCAAGATTGCTCCCCATATATTATTCTCAAAATCCCCACTTGGGCTTTCCTACTATGGTGTCAACAGGGTGACAAACAAGCATATGTCCCGCCTGATAGTAAGCGGCACCATAGACTATAGACGCTTGAGGTACCAAAGCTGCCATCCAGTCGTCGCCGTCCAGATGCCAGCATGCCGTTGCCTACCCTGACCCAATCCCATAAAGTTTGCCAACGTGTGGAATGTTGAAATACCACCTAAAGGTAGTGTTGATTTTCTGTGGTCTTTCGTAAGGTGGACGTTACTTCCCCAGATGGGCGCTCCAATTCGAGCGGAAAATCCGCTATGTCCTAACTCTCTTAGCTACATATATTACCTATTCCTTCGCTTCAGGTATTGTGGCAGGCCGTGCCAACAGGGACATGTCTACTCAACTAAGGTTACTCGTGCAGTTGATAGATGACTGCCATAAATACGGCGGAGAATTGGCATGGATAAACCTTGAGGTATAATATAATATCATAGGAAATTTGTTAGTGTTAAGCAGCACATACACACATCAAAAAAAATTGCGATCACTTTAAAAAATAGATTGTTTTTGTGTTAGAGAAGATATTTTTGCAATTTCTTTTTCTGATAAGATTCTAAATTTTAAATTTAGAACCTTAAATAAATAAAATAAATCAATTGATTTTCCATTTAAAAAGACATGCAATCCAAGCTGACACTCATTCAGAAATCTGACTTCGTCAATATTATCGAATTTAAAATATTTTTTCACGGAAAGTTGTGATTTAACGGGCATGAGGATTGTCAGATGTTTTACGAGCCAGAATTGTATCTTTGAGAGAATAAGGCTATTCTACGAGAGAAATAGCAAGCAGAGTTTCCATATCCCAATCCTGTGTAGTAACCACGTTGCAGAGGTACCACGGCATGGGTAATTTAGCTGACCGAACCCGCAGCGGTCGCAAACTATTTTGACAGCTGCTCAGAAGCTCTACATCAGGTTGCTGGTAGCCCGCAACCCAACAATAAACGCCACTAAATTAAAAGCAGAAATACGGGCCGCCTCCGGACTTGAAGTTAGCACTCAGACCTTTCGGAATTGCTTACACATGGCTGGATTACGAGCACAGAGATCTTGGCGAGCACCTTTGAATTCACGGGACCGTCAGCGACGGAGATTACAGTGGACTAGGCTCCAGCAAAACGAAGAAGACGAAGAGGAAAATATTTGGCAAAACTGCCTCTTCGTTGACGAATCGCAAATCAGTACTCATCCAGATAACCAATGTGTCCGTGTTTGGAGAAGACCTGGAGACTACGAAAGGCAAAGAACGGCCACTGGAACGGTTTAGTAAGGCGGGAAATCAGTGTCCTTTTGGGGTGGTATTATGATTGGTTGGTTTGGCTAGGATAGGACGTCTTTAATCCCTTATCAAAGCTTCATGACGGCAGACAGGTATAAAACAGTCGCTATTATGGAATTGTCAGACCTTTCCGGGTAAACCATGGTCACCAATTTGTACTGGTTGACGATATTGCGCCCGCACATCGAGCTCAACGAGTCAATGCTGCTCTCCGAGAATACGAAATCACAAGGTTAGACTGGCCTTCCGGTTCTCCTGACTTAAACCCAATAGAGCACGTGAGGGATGCTCTTCATCATCATCATCATCAGCAACAGCCTATCATAGTCCACTGCTGGACATATGCCTCTCCAAATGCACGCCACTCAGATCGATCTTGGGCTACTCGCATCCAGCTCCTGCCAGCCACCCTGCGCAAATCGTCACTCCATCGTGCCTGAGGACGTCCTACACTACGTTTGCCTAGACGCGGTCTCCACTCCAGAACTCGTCTACCCCAACGGTTATCGGTTCTTCGGCAAATATGGCCAGCCCACTGCCACTTCAAGTTGCTAATCCGGTAGGCTATATCGATAACTCTGGTTCTCTGTTGGATTACCTCATTTCTGATGCGATCTTTCAGAGAAACGCCGAGCATAGCCCTTTCCATAGCGCGCTGAGCGACTTTGAACCTGTGGATCAGCCGTGCCGTCAGTGTCCACGTCTCGGCTCCGTATGTCATCACAGGTAGGACGCACTGATTGAAGACTTTCGTCTTTAGGCACTGTGGGATCGACGATGTCAGGACTTGACGTAGCTTCCCAAATGCTGCCCAACCTAGCTGAACTCTTCTATTCACCTCGTCCTCAAAGTTGTTTCTACCTAACTGCAATGTCTGCCCGAGGTATACATATTTTTGAACAACTTCGAGAACGGCACCGTGTATTGCAATCGGTTCCGGTAGAACATGTTCATTGAACATGACCTTGGTTTCATCCAAGTTCATCCGTAGGCCGATGCGTATAGAAGAGTCAGCCAGGTCATTCAGCATCTGTTGTAGGTCCTGCAGGGTTTCTGCCATGATGACGATGTCGTCTGCAAATCGCAAGTGAGAGATGCGTTCGCCATTTATGTTGATGCCATGTCGTTTCCAGTTCAGCGTCTTGAACATATCCTCCATTGCATTAGTGAACAATTTCGGGGAAATAACGTCCCTTTGTCTTACTCCACGATGCAACGGTATGGGACTTGTTTGCTGATTCTGTACTTGGACAGACATGGTGGCGGCTTCGTAGAGACATCTTATCACTTGGATGTATCGCCAGTCGACTTGGCAACGCTGCAGGGACTCCAGGACAGACCAGATTTCAATAGAGTCAAAGACCTTCTCATAGTCCACAAATGCTAGGCACAGGGGCTGATTGTACTCCTCAGTCTTCTGTATAATCTGCCGCACTGTGTGGATGTGGTCTATGGTGCCGTATCCGCTCCGAAACCCAGCCTGTTCCGGTGGTTGGAAGTCATCAAATCTTCGCGCAAGACGGTTCGCGATCACTCTTGAGAACAGCTTATAGACGTGGCTTAGAAGGGATATGGGTCGATAGTTCTTAAGTAGGGTCTTGTTCCCCTTTTTAAAGAACAAGACGACCACACTCCTACTCCACGCCTCCGGAGTTCTCCCTTCGAACAGGACAGTGTTAAAAAGCTTTTGGAGCTCCCTCAGTACGGGTTTACCTCCAGCCTTCAAGAGTTCTGTTGTAACACCATCCTCTCCAGGGGCTTTTCCATTTTTAAGCTGTCCAAGAGCAATCTCGATTTCGCCAATACTGACTTCTGGCAGGTCTTCGGTGAAGTGGCGTGTTAATGTGGCTCTAGAATCCTCATTTCCGGGATCAGGTCGAGATGCATGTGATGCGTATAACTGGCTGTAGAAGTCTTCCACTTCCGAAAGGACTGCCGGCTTTGAAGCAACAACTTCCCCACTTGCTGTGGTCAACTTCGTCAGATGGCTTCTTCCAAGAGATTGTACGAACACTTTGGACCCTCGATTCTGCTCGATCGATCGAGAGACTATTGGAGCATCGGAGGTCGTGTCGTACGTGCTTACTGATCTCTTGGTTTAGAGTCCGCTTTGCCGACGAAGTGACGGGTGGGTTTTCACGTCGTTCCTTCATTAGCCCTAAAGTCTCTTCCGAAAGCTTTGACTTCCTGCCCTTACCCTGCGTTGCACATAGTCTCGTACCCTCTTCCCTGAGAATCCGAACCACATTTTCGAGGTTTTGGTTTACGTCTGATGTGGTTTCTACGGCAGCAAATCGGTTCTCCAGATTTGACTGGAACGTTTCAGATCCTGTAATAGATTGGAGCAAAGTAGGTTGGAGCCTGGATTTCATCAAACGGACGCGCTCGGCCTTAACGGACGAGTCGGTGATCACTACCGGTATTGAACCTGTTGATCACGGAGACGTCTCTGAATATGTACCTCTTGTCCGTCATGATGAAATCGATCTCATTTTTAGTCATAGTGTCGGGGCTCCGCCATGTCCACTTCCTTTGGGGCTGTTTTTTGAAAAAAGAGTTCATCAAAAAGAGCCCCTGCTGTTCGAGGAAGTTTCGTCAACTTTCCCCTTATGATTTCTGCTTCCAAATCCATGGGATCCTACTACCGATTCGCTGCAATTCTGTACTCCCACTTTAGCGTTGAAGTCCCCCATAACAACGTTGTAGTGGGTCTTAGTAGTGGAGTGGAGGGCCCTCGATATATCATCAAACATATCCTCCACTTCGTCGTCCGAGTGTGTCGAGGTCGGTGCGTACACTTGCACCACCTTGAGGCTATACCTCTCGGTGAGCTTTATAATAAGGTACACTACCCTGTTCGACACGCTGGACATTTCCACAACGTTATCGGCAAGGGACTTATTCACCAAAAACCCAACGCCACCTTGGGACTGTTGGTCTCCCCCGCGGAAGTACATTAGGTGGCCCGATTCGAGGGTTATGGTGTCCTCCCCCTCTCTTCGGACTTCACTTAACCCTAAAATGTGCCACCTAATCTTTCCAAGTTCCACCTCGAGTTGCGCCAGATGCGAGTCAAGCCGTAGCGTGCGTCCGTTGTACGTCGCCAGGGTCAGTCTTTTGTGGTGGCCTCCCGTAGCCCGGAGATTCTTGGCACCCCCCGCCCCATCGTTACCGTGGTCGCCACCGTGACCAAGAATAGCGGGGCTGCCGGGACTTGGGGGCCGTGGCTTGAGTTTCTTGTGCATGAAGGTTTTGCCCATAATCGCCACGCTGGGCAGGCGGGTTGGCGATTTCAGAGCGTAGGTTTATTTACTGATGACGCTGCTGCCCGTCACCAGTGACATTTTCCTCCCCTACGTCATTGGATGGTTATACCGCCATCGGTCGGTTTGCCAGAGCCTCGTCTGTTGGTCAACAGGGTGCACCACGTGAAGGTGAGGTTGGCTTGGGTTCTTGCAGGTGTATTTAGAACCCCTTACACCCCAGGGATACTTTTAAGCGAGCTGTTTGAAACCGGTAGCCACCACCCCAGGCAGTACCGCAGCTCAGGGAAGCTGCTGTTCAAGAATGGGACAGGTTACCACAAGAAATGCTGTATGCCTTGATCCTCAGCATGCCCAGGAGGATCTCCGTATGTGTTCGAGCCAGAGGAGGAGTTATTTTGTATTAGATAAACAACAATTTATTAATAAAAGGTTTTTTTAGTAAAATTTAACTAGTTTTTAAGTTTGGTTAAACTACTATTTTATGGCTTATTATTGAAATATTTGTTCATTAATCCCCGTTAACGCCAATTGGAGCTTATATTGGGGATTAATGAAGTAAAAAGTTCATTAATCCCCATTACGTTAAAAATAAAATAATAATGTAAGAATCAGGTACCTTCTATTTATTATTGGATTAGATATCACTTATTGATTATTTTTCAAATTAAATAAAATTTAAACCTGATTACAATACTTAAAAAAAACTTAAAAATTTACAAAAAACAAGAAGTCAGTCACAAACGCTGGCTAAAGACGCATCGTATTATGAAGTTCTTGCATTGCGGGTTTCTGAAATTAAAGAAATTACAGAAAAAACAATGAAAAGCATTAATCGCGACAAATTTAAACAGGAGGTCCAAATGGAAGTTCTTACTGGGGAAATTACGATCGGCCACTCCTCAGAGAAGTTTAGATGATTCAAAACGGATAAGTGGAAAAATCCCTTTTTCTATCAAAGTTCAATACAATCGCCTTAGGATTGAAATTATTTTTTTTTATGCTAAAAAATAAATTAATTTTATTTTTTATATTTCAGAAAGTGTATTTTTAAATAAAAAAAGATATAACGTAAACATTATCTCTTGATTAAGTTAAATTTTGAAAATATATCAGCTTTTGCAAGTGATCTCAAACTTTTTTTGATGTGTGTACATTTAAAATTATTTTGCGTCAATAAAATACAAACATCTGTTACGAGCACTTTGGATTTATAACTCAAACTCAAAATAATTCACTCAGTTTAAGCTGTTAAGGCAAAGAAACATGCGACGCGTAGGATGTTATTAATGTGATTCTGCTCATAAAAAATAGTACATTTTGATTTGACTCAACACGCGCGGCGGGGCATCGGTTGGTGACGGGTTTCATAAGTCTGTTTCGGCCAATACAAGCCTTCATGAATGCCTGGAAGCTCATTCGTAAATTTAGGCGTTGAGCAGACGACGGGGCGGGGCGGGCATTTTGTCCGCGAAGCAATAAAGACCGCGTCTGACCGTCGATGTCTGCGGCTGCCCGCGCCGCGTACACAAAGCACACGACGGGCAGAGGCGGTCAGTTTAGGACGTTCGTTCTAGTGAATAGTCCATCACTAATAAGCGCGTGGCGCGGACTGAGCTGACCGCCCCGCGCCGCCGTCTGCGTTACTGCATATAAACTGGTTTGTATGATCCACGGCGGGCAGCCGCGGACATGCCGCGCCGCCTCTGTCTTTTTGCCCTCTGTGTGCGTTTGAAGTAAAGGATTCACTTTGTGCTATTATTCGCGGCGAAATTGACCGGCGCGCCCCGCCCCGTCGTCTGCAAAGTGCCTTACGGTGCGAGACTGTGCAGACAAAAACCGGCAAATGTTCAGCAACGGCTGTATTTTTCTCCCTGTTTGTTTACGGAGTTGTATTCAAAAACGACTTCAGAGATGATTCATGAAGTCAGCTTTCATTACATAATGTGAAATGTACAATAATTGGTCACGTATAATTTGATTGCTGTGTCATACACTATTAAGTACAATTAGTGTTTTTTATATAAGGTATAAGTAAATATTATACTGGCAGCACCAGTTCACGAGCATGACGCATGAACAAAAAAAACTTGTATATTTTTATATAAAAACAGTCACAATAATAATGAAACTTGATATATTAAAACGACGTTGGTGCCAATTCTGGCGTGATTCGCTAAACTTAAAACTAAATTTAACTTCAGTCTCTCCTTTTCATTCAATATAGAGAATGACAAGGATATACTGCTGTCAAATTTAAGTTTAGGTTTAGAGAATCATGCTAGAATCAACACCAATTTAGTATTTTGGTCATTATACGAAGTACAAAAAAAACTGTTCTTTGGTGATGTTTAAATATTTATAAGTTATTTCAAAAGCTGAAAAAATCTATTTCGTACATTATTGTGACTATTTACCAAAAACATAACAAATTCAACCATACCTCATCTGCTAATTTGTAAAAAAAAAATCAAAACATAAGCGTGGTCATACTCCGTGAACTGTTCTAATTAACATTTTTCGTCAGAAAAGCTGGGAAAAAAGTTATATTACACACTTGAATTAAAAAGAACTCACAGTATCTGTTTTCACACATCCCAATAAACATCAGAACATAGCAGTTTATTTTTTCTTATTAATATATTAAAATTTGTAGCCATTATACAGGTGTTATAAAAATATAAATCAATACCGTGAACTACTATTTTCACCCAACAAAAATTTTTTTAGACCTGCATAACTGCTCTTATTACCTGGTTACACTGCTTTTTGCTGTTAGTTCAGTTGTGTGTGCTAACCAACAAGAAGGTTATGTACTGTGAAGTTTTGTTAAAAAAATATATGTAATATACGTTTCTGGTAAAGTTTGGCCCGTCAATTCGGTTAGGGATTTTTTTGGTATGTAGTAACGTATTTACTTTGCCACCATAGCTCATAATTAATGCCATGGGGACTTATTTTGGTTGTAGTTATAAATTAATATGTAACTTTTAAAACCACGACTTAGCATGATTTTAAAAATGATTGGTCAATCCCGTGATCGTTATTACTGTGAACTTGCTGTTCACAGAACTTGTATTTTTTCGGTGTTTAATACAAACACTTTTGTATGGCATTATTCAGAGTCTGGTCATGGAAAAGGACGCCAGACGTTATAGGTGGCTACTTAAAAAGACATAATGATCGACGAGTGGTTTCGGGGAATGACATTCCAGACCATCAAACTTTGATATTATTTTTTTAAAAAATTGGAAAATAACTTTTGGAAAAAAAATGACCTCTTGGTTAGGTTAATGCCAATAAATGATTTATGTTTTATTAGGCCAATAGAGAACATCTTCTTTTTCAGAATAGCTTTAAAAAACCTATCAAGGCATGATGAAAGTTCATCAAATTGTTTGGGCAAAAGAAAACCCAGATTATCTTCAAGCCAGGCGACTGAGTTGTTTGGAATGTCATTCAGACATCACTTGTCGTCATTTTAGGTTGGAATAAATGTAATCACCAATACAATCATTACATGCAACTCAGAAAATGAGCCCCCTATACAATCATGCTCTAAATTACGTGTCGATAAAATTTATTCTGACAAGTAAAACAAAACAGGGTAAATTTTTTGGCTGTTGAATACACCCAGAACATTATAATAAGAGAGTTCGCACATTTTTATCATATGATGACTTCAGTGATTCTTATAATTTAGTATCACAGAAATGACGTTCCTACTAAATATCATTTCCGTGGACATGAATGTTTGATTTTTTTTATTGTTTTTTAAAATTATTGATCAAAATAATGTTTCATAATTTATTTTGTCTTGGTTTAATGGTTTTCGGTAGAACATTTACTATTATCATAACTGTATTAATTCTTAAGTTATGATCACTTAGATCATTTCAGTGAAAACGTGCGTCAATTCTGTGAGACTTAAAAAATGATTTTTCATGTTTTACGTATTAAACGCAATGAAAATTCTGTTTTCTGTTGTGATTATGGTATTTGATTATATTTTGCAAAAAATAAATGTTTGAAACCCAAAAAATTCTCACTTTAATTTTTGTGATTTAAAAAAGGCCATTTCGTATAATGACCCATTTATAAACTAACCCCTATTTCTTTTTCAGGCCGCGAGTGGCAAGTTTAGTGAGTGTGCTTTGAGTGAAATAGATGCATACACTGTCATGCAAATACGTAATGTGACGAAAAATCCAGAGAGTCTGCAGAGCATCGCTAAAAAGTGAGGCACCCCCTTATAATTAGTAAATATTGGTGTCGATTCTGGCATGATTCTCTAAACCTAAATTTAAATTTGACAACAGTGATGTCGGTTCTGGCATGATTCTCTAAAGCTAAACTCTAATTTGACAATAGTGCATCCCTGTCATTCTCTATGCACAACGAAAAGGAGAGACTTATGTTAAATTTAGTTTTAAGTTTAGAGAATCACGCCAGAATCGACACCAGTGTATCCTTGTCATACACTGTACAGAATGACAAGAAGAGACTGATGTTAGTTTTAAGTTTAAAGAGTCGTGCCAGAATCGACACCAATATCGGGCTAGGGCTCTCTAGGTTCTGGGGTGTATGCGCTCCTGATAACAAATAATGCGACCTGGAGTGTGTATCTCTTATAATAACTAAAGGAGATTGCTCAGCTTCCATACATGTTTGGCCTAAAGACCAATAATCATGAAAAATTGTTTCCTAGATTCGAAATGATAAATAAATTACTGTAGAAACGAATATTATTGACGGACACCCCTGAGAACTTCTATAAACCATGTACACTGAACATATTAAAATAATAGAAAACAAATAAGTTATATAGTAAACTAGGGAATTCAAGCGAAGTACCGAAATTATGGATTAGATTCAGGTATATAGAGCATGTAGATTATCAGATAGTTGCCTGCTTTTAATGTTAATGCATAAGAGTAACTTTTAAAATCAGGTGTCATTTCCGGTTATAATAAGGTACTATGTGACAGAAACTGTGTGATGATTGTGAATGAGCCATAGATTAGAGAGAATTTTTAAACTCTCGTTAACCAAAGAAAGCTAAGTGATTTAGGTTCTATAGCCATATATTCAGTAGCTTCATTATATTTGTTATGTTTTTAAGATAACCATATTTTAGATTTTTAGTGTATCACACCTTATAATTTTATTTATTTATTAATTTATAGTCAGGGAACGTAGGCCCATAGATAGATACCTTAAAGTCTAACTTATTATATACAGATTATAATGTGTTTATGGAGGTGTTTGGCGAAAAATGTATGGCAATAGACTTTATGATGTCGCCTACCATCTATAATAATTGTCTGAGCACATTTGCATCTAGTGAAAATGATAATATAGTGGTGGATATTAATACCACAGTGTTATAAAAAAAATTGATTTATTTTTCGATCTTTACAAAATAGATTTGTGTTTATATTATATAAACAACTTCGATCAGTCTTTGGCTGAATGTCACTACACCCATAGCCCTTAAAAATGATTCGTATGTTTTCCAAACCGGTAAAATTAAAAGTCTTTTTTAAAGTAAATATATTATACAACGACGACCTCCGTGGTCGAGTGGTTTGTACGCCGGGTTTCATGGTGTCGCCGACTCGAGAGGTCCCGGGTTCAAATCCCGGTGGGGACAGATGTTTGTGTGATGAATACGAGCATTTGTACTCCAGTCATGGATGTTTAATATGTATTTCTATAAAAAAATATATACTTATATATGTACAGTTTATGTATTCTATCCGTTACCCTAGTATCCCATAAAACAAGCCTTATAGTGCTTACTTTGGGGCTAGGCTAATTGGAGTGAGTGTTGGAAATATTTATTTATTATACAAAAGTGTCCGTTGAAATCTAATGACTGTAAATTAAATTATAAATTACGCCAAGAATTACCGTGCATGTCAATATTTTTTGTGCATTTAGGCCAATTTGAGCAATCTCCTTATCCTTTGATTATTTAAAATAATATGTTCTTACTTTTATATTTTTTACAAGCATTTATGATGATAATCGTAGTTAAATAAAGGTCAATTATATATCTATTTAAATAATTAAGTAAAAACACAATATGCTAAGAAACAAATGACGGTTGTGAATGAAAAATCATACAATGTTTTCGTCTAGCCAAGCAAGTCCGTACTGTCCGAAAGAGAACTTCGTTCCGAAATAAACATTCGTGTCGCAGTATTTGTTATCGAACTCCTCCGAAACGGATACACTGATTTTTATATTTTTTGTGAGTATAATGGTAGGTCTGTGAATATATTGAAAACATTTTTTAATACCCCTAAGTTTTAAGGGTTACTTACCTTATCCAGATTTGTTTTAAAGAGAAATTTCTATTACATCGCCACACATTTTTTCGTTCATCTTTAGCAAGTCGCATTACATTTTTAATTGTTAGTGCATAAATCAGATCTTAGCATCGATGTTTCATAAAACCACAGCATTTTTTTAAAGTGAAACTGAAATCTTTCTTCTTTTTTCTTCAGCATGTCCCATTTATTTTAATTGTTATAAAAAAAACATTCCTTATGCCTTGTTCACACGTACCGAATAAACGGGCGAGACAGTCAAATGTTTCTCAACCGAGACAGTGATGTAAGCGAGTACTCGGCCAAGGACTATGTTATACGGATTGAGTACACGGCCGGGAGCACTGTTCGTTCGAGTCGATCCTAGGTACGATCCAAAAAGAATATTTTAGGCGATGTTAAACACTATAAAAAAAGTTTCACTTGCATCGTACTTTCATAAAACAACACCAAATTTTTTTACGATTTTCTGTATCAAATAATTACCCCTAATAAAACCCTAACTCTACCAACCAACCCCTATTTTATGGGGTACGAAGTTCGCAGGGTCAGCTGTTATTTTATTACCTTCAAAGGTAGACGAACGGACGAGCCATCTGATATTATGTGGTCACTGTCGCCCATGGACATCAGCAATGTCAGTGACACAGCTGTTTATTTTGTCATATTTTTATAAATTATATTTTAAAAGACTTTTATATTTATGATTTTTTTTTAAAGCATTTAACTGCTAGATGTTTAAATCTAAAGAAAAGTTTACAAGAAAAAAAATCCACGCGGACCAGGCTTTTATATATTTCGATCAATTTCGACATGTTAAAATAGACAACAATAAATTCTAAACAAACTAATCTTTTTATAAAAATATAATCGAACAGTGCTGCAGTCATAGTAGTATAACATAGTATTTATATCTATGGCTGCACTCGACAACAGCCATGCCGCTACCTTTCATGGAACACTCTATTTAAGCCCCTCTTTTTTTACGCCCCACGTAATGGCTATGGGCAGCCTCCAGAACCGCTTTCTGGAGGCTGCCCATTGCGGGAGAGCCCAGTCCAGCGACCCAGCCGGCTGCTGGGTTATGTCAGAGTCTTACTGACTAAAAACAACTTAAGGAAGCCTCTATCCTGGAATATTTAAAGGCGACATCAGATGCGATCACCTCTTTGGAGGACATGACGCGAGCGCTGTCTCAGTTTACACTAAAGCTTTGATGACACCGGGCGAGCTTACAAGCTACAAGCCAGCGAGTTTGCTTATGAACTCGCCCTGTGCCATCGAGTAGCAGATGGTAAAAAAGCCGATGACAACGGGCGAGTTTATAAGCTACTAGCGAACTCGCTGGCTTGTAGCTTGTAAACTCGCCCCGTATCATCGACGCTTAAGACATAGTGCGCGAGACGATAAGCCTCTCTTGGAGAGAAACATTATATAGTACTAGGGAAACACGTGGAGCGAAGCTTGTTCCATAATTTTAATGTCCGTGGAATTAAAGATTTATGTATATTAAAATTACAGAGTGTGCGCTAAGAAGAGTCCTCTGCTAAGATGCACTTTCAATTTTCTGGATAATGTTGAGCCTTGTATTGACCCTGTGTTACGAGGGAGATACAATGATTCTAAAAAGGCCGTGTCCGAGTTCGTAGACTACGTCTGTTTCAATGATGCAGAAGTAATGGGCAGTAAGTATTTTACAGATTGCATAACGAAAAGTTTCATTTTAAGGTTCCATCGCTAATTTTTGCTATATTGCCATTGCTAACCCCTTTTCTGGGAGTTGCAATTAAAGATTATGTGAGCTAAGGTACTGCAGTACCCTTACAAAAAAACACAAACAGGAAAAACACAAAATAATTCGCCTCGCAAGCAAAATGCCAATTGAAATTGCCAATGTCATAATGACAGACCACTGACAGTCACCGTCATTATAAGTTGTCATGTGAGGTTAGTTGCGTGACCATTTAAAAAATCGAATAGGTAGTCGATTTTATATTTTACATCCCGTCACATTCCGCAACATACCTCACAAAGTCTCTTGAACATCCGTTTTCAACAATCTTATAACATCATCATCATCAACAGCCACTGCTGGAGCACAGGCCTACCCTACGGATGGAATAGGGAGATTTCAGCTATTGCTCACTACGCTAGCCCAATGCGGATTAGTGGGTGCTAACGACTGCAGAGACAGCCGGGAGTAAAGGCTAAACGTGCCTTCAGAAGCACGGAGGAGCTCGAGATTGTATATTTTTAGTCACCATTCAACCGACCGACTATTGCGAAAGTTGCATAATAAATAAGCAACTGATACATGTGAAAGGTAACTTACACGACCGCAGACCAACCGCGCTAACCACTTTTTTAAGTTAAAAGGTTGACAAACAAGCGTATTGCCCTCCTAATTGTAAGCTGTCACCAAATAGTCTATAGACGCTTGCGATACCAAAAATATCACTTGCACCGTTATCTACCCTGACCCAATCCTCTACCCCGTGGAGCCTTGGAACCTCAGGAACACAACACCACCAAAAGGTAGTGTTAGTTTAGTTTGATCTTCTAAAGGTGGAGGTTAATACCCCAGACGGTCCTCTCTTGGCCCATGTTGCCTCTCTCTGGCAAGAAGGGCACTCTCTTCTTTTAGCTGTTCTCTCTCTATCTCTCGTCCACCAGCAGCACGTTATAGCTTGTGGTCGACCGAACTGGTGGTAGACCGAACTGGTGAAGGGCCACTGACCTGCGCGTCGCCCGCCCTAAAGCACGACGGACCGCTGAAGCGCAGGTCACTCGCCCGACGCCGTTAACACTCAAACCCAGTTTTTTATTTTTGTCTTTATTATTTTACTTCTATTGCGAACTATTTTGCACCAGCAAAAAATTGTTATTTAAAAAAAAATGCCCCAGGCGGGCGCTCCAATTCCGATGACCAAACACTGCGAAAGTTGCTGAACTACAACGATCGCAGCTGAAGGCGCTAACCGCTTGCGCCAACGAGCTCCTCTTACAGTATAACAACACATTCTGTATTTTTTTTTCAAGATTTTTCTACATATTTCGTTTAATACCGCTGCATGGTTATAGATTTATTTCGTTACTTACTAGCAGCCGCCCGCGATATCGGCCGCGTTAACTTTGGTATTTTGAGAATTCCAGGAACCTAACATTCTTTGGGGATAAAAAGTAGCCTTTGTCTCAATACAGGTCATAAACTATGTGCGCACCAAATTTCATCCAAATCCGTTCAGTTAGTTTTTGTGTGATTGGGTATAAAACATACAAACACACAAACTTATTAACTTTCCCATTTTTAATATTATGTTTTATGATTTACAGTTATTTACTATAAATTAAGGTATTGTAAAGAAAACAATCATTTGTTAACTTATTTAAGAGAAAATTTTTGTACCTATTTCAGAACTGGTTAGTCAAAGTGCAATGAAGTGCGTAAAAGATAATGTCCAAAATATGAATCAGTGCCTGAATAGCGCAGAGCCTAAGGACTTAGAATCCACACCCATACCAGTGAGTATAAAAAAATATACTATCGAACAAATTGATACATTACCCGATAATTTGTTTAAAAATGTCAAGGCATACAAGTTTTTTTATATGAAACGAATGCGTAATTCCACTTAGGACCTTCTAATAACAAGGAAACTGTACCAATATTTATAAATCAAAGATCTTCGAAATATGACTTTTGTTTTCAATGCAATCTTATAGATAAAATTGAAATAGTGCTTTGTATTTGGAATAATCGTTTATGTAACAGAAACTCTTTTAATTTCTTGATATTAAGAAAAACAAACATATGTATCTCATAAACCGTTTGCAGAAAATGGGGGACACTAAGAAAAAAATACATTCTCTAACTATTTCTTATTTGCAAAAATAACTAAAACTTGTTTAACAATTAATAAACAGAAAAGTACCAGAGCGATCAACTAAATAACGTTATTTTAAAGAAGTAGCTTATATTAGATTTTTGACCCAGTTTTTGATAATTAAACTTAAAATCATCAAATATGCTTACTCACTGGTCATAGTTAACTCTATAAATTTGTTTTTCTAACATTTTACTAGTCTGTGCGGAAAGAGAATGGGATTTAGATTGGAGTGCGCTGTAGTGCTTTTCTACCGTATTAATAAGGTTTTACCCCTTTTAGACATGATTAAATACAAAAAACCGCAAGAAATCACAACAACAAACAAATCCGTATCAATACAAAAGTTTGACGTTTTACAGATTGCTGGGTTTGATTGCCAAATAAAAATCTTAATGTTAGTTCCGTTTTTCGCCACGCCCATTCTCTTTCCGCACAGACTCTGAGTCAAAAAGACACCACTTAACCACCACAGACCTATATTGAAATGGACGCCGCATGTACTTCAAATTGTATGGAAACCGAGAGTGTCAGATGTTGAGTAGACATGAAAAAAAAAATAGTGGTGAAAAAGCATGGGCCCCGGTCACCTATTTCAATAGAGAATAAATACATGTTTTTTTTAAATATATTTTATCTAATAGTTTACATTTCCTTTAAACAGTTTTAAAAAAATATTTATAGGCATTAAAACGCTCCCCATTTTTTAAAGGCTTGGGCGTGACGTCACAGTTCATATCAACTACTTACAAACTAGATTAATGACCTCACAAGATACTGACAGTTTGCGTTCCATAGCTTCACTGCGGATTAAAGTTGGAACCTACGTCAATCGAATAGACATAATTTTTCATACATTTTTGGTAAACATTTAAAAGTCAGGAGTGAAAAGTTGCGCTCGGTGTCTTGGTGTGGAACGTGGCCTTGACAACTATGCAATGGCACTATAATCTCGTTGACAATGGCATATCCTGTGAACGTCACATTTGTTTGCTTGTTAAAATTCTGCTCAACAAAGATTCATTAAAAGAACGATGTTTAGTAAATTTATAAACACTTTTCCAGTAAAATTTAGGTAATAGAAAAAAGTTATTTAACATTTTAATTTGACAAAACTGGTGTCAGGACATTACACCATAGTCAAAAATCGCAAAAAAATTATCACTTGTGTGACAAGTCATAATTTTTTGCGATTTTTTTAAATGTAATTATAATAAAGTTGGGCACCATTATGTACATGTCCAAGGTATGCTGCATGCCAAACTACAATAAACAATATTTTAAATTACCAATTTATTTTAAGAAACCTAATTTGACTAAGCATACGCTATTTTTTTCGTTTAGAGAAGTAGCCATTACTGAAATACAACTCCCTTTCATGTATTAGGAAAATGATAAAATTGAAAAATCATTTAATTGAATTTTTAACTAAATATTTGGCTTTGTGCAAGCATTCTATACATATAAAATATCAGATCTATAACTCCTTCCGTTTACGATCCAGAAAGCCGTGACGTACGGACAGACAGACAGACGACGATTTTCATTGACAGCAATAGGGTTCATTTTTTCCATGTTTTTTTTCCTTTGGATACGGAACCCTAAAAACTTGTACACAAGATTATACACAGCTATTTAAGGAGGAGCCCGATGGCACAGGCGCAGGTGGTAAGCTCGTTCGGCCTGCGATCGTGAAAGTTAAGCAACTTTCGCAATGGTCGGTCATTGGATGGGTGATCAAAAACATATTATCTCGAGCTTCGCCGTGCTTCGGAAGGTATATTAATAATGCGTTAAGCCGTTGGCTTCGCATCCGCATTGTCTTCGTGGTGGGTCACGGCCCAATCTCCCTATTCCATCCATAGCGAAGACGTGTGCCCCAGTAGTGGGGACGTCAATAGGCTGATGAAGATGTATGAAAATATTTCTACCATTATTCGAAACTCTTATTTACAGAAACGTTGCGAGATATTCCGGGAAGGCAGTAGTTGTATTTTGAATCCACTGAACACGTGTTCTGACAAATCTTACGCTGAATTCTTCGAGAACCTATTTGAAACTGTGGCCGTGAGATCGTATTGTGAAAAAGGCGTCATCACCGACGTAAAAGTCAATGTAAGTGTTAATATTAGCGTATTAGCGTACATACCTAACCAAATGCGAGCGCTTGTAAAATCCTTATGGATACCCAGCCAGCTGCAGAATAATAAGTGATTATACTATGCCACTATGTTTTGATTTTTTTGTAAATGCTTATTAAACTCCACATAAGACGTTTGTACTGGTGTTAAAAAATCGATTTATTTTTGGCCTTTTTCGAGGGCTTCTAGTTTTTTTGAAACACAATTTACCGAGAAAGAGAAGACATAGGAGCATAGTATGAGTAAAATTATATTTTATGTACGAAAATCAATTCTTTAGTTATAAAAATAAAAGAGGAATCAGTCGAGAATGTTTGTATGGAAAAAACATTGCCCGTCTCCCCTCATAAGTATCTGCTGTGGAGTGATTATTTTATCTAAAGAAAATATAACTAGAAAAAAATTCCACGCGGACCAGGCAGCAGACGGGACTCGGACCCTTCGCTATCCGGGCGAATGCACTGACCAATTATGCTACCACGGCCCTGATGGCCGCGTCGAAATTCTTCTACCCATTCTTAAGCTGCAAGGCAGCGCCATCTCTTTGCATTGTAGGTAACCCACAATGTGGGTGCGGTGCGGAGGGTGCAGGTTCGAGTCCCGTCTGCTGCCTGGCCCGCGTGGATTTCTTCTAGTTATATTTTCTTTAGATTCCATCAAGCAGTCACATGCTTAAAAAATAAAAATTGTAATGATTATTTTACTGTAAATAAAAAAGTGGTAGTTGATAACTTTCCTCCATGTGATGTTAAGTCATTCGTTGCATCATCAGCTGTGACATCTTAACGAATAATATATAATGATAAATTATATTCTGTTACAGAGCATATAAGAAGAAATAGCTGCCGGACACTTTAGTGTAGTAAATACAACTGTTAACTGTTAAATAAATAGATAATGAATAAAATATATAAATTTGAAATACTGAAAAAATATTTTTCATCCCCCAACCCGGAAAAAGTATTTTTGCTCTTCGATATCTGAGTGCAAAAGCCGTTTTTATACATATATAATATAAGGTATAATTTTTATTATTTTAAAGCATGTAACTGCTTGATGTTTAAATCTAAAGAAAATATAACTAGAAAAAAATCCACGCGGACCAGGCAGCAGACGGGACTCGAACCCGCACCCTTCGCAATCCGGGTGAATGCACTGACTAATTATGCTACCGCGGCCCTCACGGACCGCGTCGAAATTCTTCTAGCCATTCTTAAGCTGCAAGGCAGCGACATCTCTTCGCATTATAGGCAACCCACAAAGTCAAATGAATACTTTTACAAGTATTAAACATTTGAAAGAAGAAATAATTAGCAATTATAGTTATAATTTTTATTATTTTAAAGCATGTATAAGGTAATTTAAATTTAGAACAAGGGTGCGGGTTCGAGTCCCGTTGTAGCCCTAATTTTTTGATTAACTGCAAAAAATACCACCACTTTATATTGCCCACTAAAGCTTTCCAATGCTAAAAACCCACGGCGCGATTTTCTCCCGCGCCCGATGCGGCTGCTAGACCGCAATTCGCGTAAAATGTGAAAAACTCTTAGTAAAACGCAAAAGCAAATTTTACTGCGCGATTTACGTCCTCAGAGCGCGCGGTTCTTTGCGGCACCAGCTGCGGGCGCGTGAGACGCAATTTATATAAGGTATTCATTTATCCCTAGGACAGCACATAGGAATATAGGATAATTTAAAAACAATTTGAATCTTTATATTTTCATTTATTGTGAACATATTTTTTATTGTTATGGCAATAGAACTTATACATCTTCGGCAGGTAACTATGATAGCTATTTTATATACATTAAACATTATAATATTATGTAAGTAAACATTTCTTACAATATTTGTTTCCAGAACATTTTTAAGCCAAATTAGACCACCGTTTGTTACACTCTCAGGCAAATGGAAAATAATGTCTTAAGGCTACCATTCACAGGCGCGCCCATTCGCCGGATTTGTCGCTGGCGACAAGTCCGCGGACAAATCCGCGTGTGAATGTATTGGTGAGTGCGGCTCGCAGCTCGGCGCGGCGCTCGCCGTCGAGCGCCGCACCCCAGCCGCGCCGTACAAATCCGTACGTGTGTGTGCTTTCACAGATTTATCGATGAACTTGTCAGTCATTTGTAGTGCGTGCACGCAGAACGACCTCTTAACTTGTTAATTCTGTATCACGTCTGTATCACTTTTTTGACGTTTATGCGATACTGTTTTAAGTCAAAAAGTTGAACATAATACTCATTTAAGTTTATATCAAGTTAATATCGTTTTAAAGATTTGATCATAATACGCTTAATTTGATGTCATTTTGATATCGCATTTTTCGGAGAGCATAATACGTAATGTGAAATTGACATCAAAACAATATCACAATTAGCGAACATAAAGAGCTAATTGTATCTCTTCTACAAGGGGTTTATCTCTTCTACGCATGTCCTCGGCATGAGCTCGTTCTAAATAGTCCATTACTAACCTAAAAAAAGGAATTTGATACATAAAAACCACCTCCTAACTTGTTAAGTCTGTATCACATTTTTGACGTTTATGCGATACTGTTTTATGTCAAAAGTTGAACGTGATACGCATTTAAGTTGATATCATTTTAAAGTTGATGTCATTTTGATATCGCATTTTTCGGAGAGCATAATAAGTAATGTGAAATTAACATTAAAACAATATCACAATTAGCGAGCATAATTGGCCTGCAGTTGTGTTGTTTGTATCACGAACGAGTAAACGAGTATAATAACATGTCGTTAGGCGATCATAAAGAGTTTTGGCAAGAATTTATCCTGCTGTTTAAAGAGAAAACTAAAGAGAAACAAGTGGTTTACAGGTCTGAATGCATTGCAGCAATTTTAAATGAGTATATTTTGTTCGTTGTTTCAGCCATTCCTTTGTTCAAACGCGCTTTTTCTTTTTATTTAAAAGTATTGCACCGACTACTAAAGCGTCTTTTGTGCGTTTGGAAAGCACCGGTGGCATGGTAGGGTAGGGAAGAACGATACGCGCGAGGCTCACCAAAGTACACAAGCGACTGGACTGCAACTCGGCGCTCGTGTAGTGTGTGGGCAATGACGGATTTGTCCACGGATGGGTACGGCTCGGGGTTCGGCTCGCGGTGCGTGTAGTGAATGGTGGGCTTTAGGTAACACTATCACTTGCGATCGAATTTGTCTGTTACAGAATTTAAAGTGCTTACTAAAGCTGAAGCAACTTTACGTTTGTACCTAAATAATTTCAATTGTTAATTAAATAGTTTTTTTGTTATAAAGATCTTATTTGCTTATTTATTTGTAATCGATTTCATTAAATAGGTGCCTAAGTACATTTAATATTTTCGATGTAGAACAAAAAGAACATAAGTAAACCACGTTTAACAAAGAATCCGCAAGACTTATGATATGCAAAAAAATTTAAAAAATACCTTTTTTCTTTTTTTCCAGACTTGTTTTGATATGCTAATATCTACGCATATCAATGCATATTTTACTCAAAACTTTAAAGAGTAGTAGGTTCAAAGACATTATACTAAGTAGTGTTCAACGAAACTTTTGCTATAATAAAATAAGGTCGAATCGTAAGTAACACATGTGACATTATGTGTGTGTTCATATTTATTTTTCTTCATATGTTTATTATATTTTAAGAAAAATACCTTACATGTTAATGAAATTAAGTTAAATATTCTCTGAATCAATTTTGTAAAAAAATATTCGAGAGTATTACTATAATATTCAAAATATAAAATGAAGTATGAACTATAAATCGTAATGAAGAAAATAAAACTACTTAATTTTCGCAGTAAAATGTGTAAGCATCCGTTAGTAAAAACAACGACCAAAACTTTAATTTTAACAACGATCATAACAACTACTTTTTCTCAAAAACAAGCAGTTATACCTAATTTAAAAACATTAATTAAAATTATTTAGACACTTTATAAAACTCCTACATTATTTAATGTTAAAAATAATCCACAACATACTTAAATGTTATGATAATTTATTCGAGTCTCGTTTTTTTCTACATAAAGTTTTGAAACGGTCAAGTGAAAATTATAGAAATCAGTTTACATCTAAAACAGCATAAAAGGGGGTGTTCTTGTTAAACAAGAACTTTTATAATAATAAATCACAGTAAGTATGTTATCACTATTATAATATTAAATTAAAATAATGGAATAACTATGCTCTTAAAGAGTCATATTTTAATACAAAAATGAAATTGATTTTAAACCTAAATTTCATTTTCTACCGATAAGTATAACTTAACTAGTGCGTATATTCAAAGTACAAATAAAAAAGCCGACACAAGCATACTTATTTATGCTTAATAGATAACAAAACAACTTAACATTGACCGGTTTTTTTTCACTTAGTTAATAATTACGAAACACATTACCCAGCATTTTTTTATTTTGAAAGGTGAACTTACTCTATCAGTTGTTTTTTTTAGTGTTCAGGTCTCGTAGTTAAATCCTAATCCCAATCAGACGTGTATTGTTATCATTATAAACTACATATTTTATAATGATTTCATACTATACAGACAATAGCAATTTGGAAGCAACATTTTCCGTTTGATTATTTAGTAAATAACCAAAGCATTTTCCATTTTATGCTATTCATTGTCCAGACCCATATGTACCCAAAATCTATAGAAGCTTTCCTCGTGAAATTTATGGCCTTCTAGGCAATTTTTATACTTTTCAACTTGCTATACCTCGAAGGTATAAATATAATGTCTGTATACAACATTTAAAGATATAAAAACAGAAAATAGCTAAACAAGTTCTTTTAATATAATCTTATACTAACAAGGACTTATTTATTCCTTTATAATCTTTACGTAATTTAATTTTTAACATACAAAATACCTTCAAAATATCAGAATGTATGACTAAGAACTGTATAATATAGTTTACGGGTAAAGATTACATTTTATTACATATTTGATATTATCGCTTAATATTACATATTATTTAATATTCCTAGATATCTTTTGTAACATTCAAGTAGAAGCATGCAAAATTGTTGCTTTAGTCATAAAAATTATATACATCAAAACTTAGTCAAGGAGAACAATTTCGCAAAATAATACTTAGGTTGTATATTAACGTTGACTTTAAAACTCTCAGTTGTATATTGAGTTCGACTCAATTGCGTCTACTTTCGTTTTTTTTGGATCTATCGCAATATTATATATATTGCGTTTCCACTTAAGTTCAGAACAGTTCTGAACGAGCAAACATTTGCTCGCTCGGTAAATGGAAACATCAGAGCGAGCGAATGCTCTCCTCTTGCTCAGTCATCAAAGGAAATAACGCAACATCGTTCTGAGCATTCCACTTACCGAGCGAACAAATGTTTGCTCGCTCCGAAGTGTTCTGAGCACTAGGTGGAAATGCTGCAACCACTGTATTAGTAACTTATCTAATATTATAATATGCTCCTTTAAAATTAAGCACTTTTCTGGACAACTTTTGGTGTCAACAAATGATACTTTATTAAGGTGTGGCTATGGGACTTTGGAGTAATATAAAACATTGTTAATGCTTATTTATTATAATACATATGTACACGAGTACTTAGGTTTAAATGTAGGAAAAATTCGTTTGTTGTGATGACAAGAACATCATGAAGATTATTTTGAAATTTCTTTTTTATTCATATATTTTGTGGGCAGTGTGTTGTTTCTGTTTTATTTATAGTTGTACCTACATACAAACACAATAGGAAAACAAGATACTTTTTCTATAAGTTTAATTTAGCAATGGAAACTGAAATTTTCAGTTATAATGCGATTCAACTAAGAATAGGACCGACTGGGCGCCATATCTTGACGTCATAGCTGTCAATTCAAACCTAATAGGTAGAGTGACCAAAAAATATTGCTATTTAATAAAACTTATTTACTAAGATTAAGTGAGACAAAACATCAGATTTTTAATAAAATTAATTTTGAGATTTGGAATTGGTTGAGAAAGAACACAACCTATTTTTTATAGTATTTCTTTATTAAGACTGTCTGAAAAAAAAACATTATCAGAATCTAGATCTTCAATTTCGCTCATCTCGGTAATGCGCTCATCGCATTACCGCCGGAGAAGTTATGAATAATCATGGAGCTCACATACGAACATGCATCCTATATGTAAACGAAAGTTTTAAATCGAGTTTTTAAACGCAACATAAAGTGACATTTGGTTGACGATTTAGGTTATCAACCATTCATAGCCAAAGCTCAAACAATGAAAACTAATATTAATTATGTTTTTATTAATTTTTAAGCATTTAACTGCTAGATGTTTAAATCTAAAGAAAGGTTAACTAGAAAAAAATCCACGTGGACCAGGCAGCGGACGGGACTCGAACCCGCACCCTTCGCTATCCGGGCGAATGCACTGACCATTATGCTACCACGGCCCTTTTCGCCGCGTCGAATTATCAACATTTGTTATTGTTTGTTTAAAAATGTTTGGTTTTTATTCTAGAATCAGCTGAGTGCTAAAAAAGTGTTCCGAGATTTTTTTGCAAACCGTACTTTTCAAGCGACATTTGACAGATGGAGGTCATTGGCTTTCCTATTCTTATTTGAATCGCATTATATATTGCTGATTTTAATTAGCATGGTTCTTTTGCTTCAATATTCTTAAAGAGCTAGAAGTTATATTAAATAAATAAATAAATAAATAAATAAATAAATAAATTACTTTTTTTACAGCACCACACTTACATTAGGTACTGCGTTATTTAAGTAAAACTTTTTTAATAAATATACCTATGAACATATTTTTATTTACTAAAATTTTAGATATTAGCAAATCTTATTAAGAAGCGGATCCAATCAATCAATTAAAAGAAAAATATTCAAACCGTCAATTCGTTTTAGCGGAATTAATTTTATCCCGCACGTGATTCTAACGACTGATATTTTTGATAAATAGGTACACTAATTATAATTATTCTTTTTATCTATGTATTCAAGGTTCAATAATTCCTGAAAAAGCAATTTATAACATATTACACCATTTCAAAAAAATTACGATCCTGTCTAATTTAATGAATATTATGAGCATAAACATAAAAAAGCGTTAGTTTTTATAATATAGGTATTAAGTAGAGCCAAAAAACATTTCTAAAATGCTGTAACCTTAACTTCTAATATTCCCACATTTTACAGTAGGGAATTGTATAGGTGAATTAATTTTTGGCACTATACAATTTACAGTTTTAACCATTAGCCATGTGTATTACAATTCTGACGTAAGCTCTGATGATAAATTATTTAGGTTACTTAGGTTTTCACGCACATCACTCATTAAATAAAACTAGTTCAATAAATAAATAAAGTTTCGTGCATTAACCCGTAAAAACTAGTTTTATTTAGGTTACGTTATGTCGGTTAAGCATGTGTTTGAGCTTTACAAACAATTTTATCATTGACTTTATTACTTGAGCGCGTTCCATTCTACGGATGGAAAAGGAAAACAAACTTAATTTTCGCATGAATAATAAACAGATTAAACTCCTCTGTAACCATGTAGGTATAAGGTACACAAAATTACTTGATAAAGGAGTTTAAGGCTTACTTTTTCACATCTAGGATTTATATCCTTTCCGAATCCGTAATAGCCTGTACTCAGTAGAGAACAGACGGAACATTAGGGGAATACCGGGAGACTTGCCCAGGATAAATTTAGCACAAACAAAACGTCAATCGTTCATTGGTAACATGCAAGGGTGCTTTGTTGTGATTGGCGATTTGCATGTGACCAATGAACGCATTGACGTAAAGTCTAAAGTTCTTTGCTGACTACTAAATCCAAAATATGAGTCGAAAGTATCTTTTTTATAATCACGTGGGGCTTTTGTTCGAGTTTTATATTATATATTTTTTTTAATTTTAAATGCACTTTAAAATACTAAACGTCCCTCCAATAACAATTCTCGTATTTGACTTAAAAAGGATAATCATTACCTATAATTTTACAAAGTGGTAAACGGCCGTACTCAGAAGAATCAATTCATTAAGTTTAGTTAATTAAAATGTTCTCAATTTATTGGCAATTAAAATGGACGAAAGAAAGAAAAAACAAATCATGAAGAAGAAAAAGAAAACACGTGACGTAATCATAAAATTTAATTGACGGTTCTGGGTGTGGCCGTCAGACTTAATTAGGGAAGTCCTCAGGCACATTTTCGAATGTCTATATACTCGTATTTACTCGTCCGACTGTTTATAGATCATAGGTTTGTTTCGATATCTCTCTTTCAAGCATACGACGTCTTTTTTACAGTAGAAAAAGATGGCGTGAATGAAAAACGTTGTAAGTAGGTGCCTATGAGGACTTCCTTATTGCGTCATTATCAGTTGCCTAAAAAGCTATTGCTTAACTTTCACTTTATCTCTTACAATAAATGTAAATCTAAATACACCTAGGCAATCTCATACACTACAATGTCTCCATAAAACGAAAAAAAAATATACTACCGCTTCGAGTTGGCCGTCGATGATCGTTACAAAATGTGTCACAGGCCAATCACAGGCACGTCGACTGGTACTGTCGACCAATAGGGTCGACTAATAGGGTCTGCCTGGGAGCGCGGTGCGGTGAAGGGGGAGGGCGGCCAACTCGAAACGAACGCGTAGTAAGCAATTTCATTGATATTATATTAAACATACATGTTGAAAAAGTATTCTTTTTACGAATCTTTAAAATCATACATACATTTAGAAAAAGTCTTCTCCTTACGTCAGCAAATAATTGTGTTGTTATGGCAAACTCTTCTGTTTATTGATCAGCGCGTTAAGCAGTTTGATTCTGGCCTTGGTGGCTTTGTACCGGGCGTATTCTTCTTCTCGACCCTTCTTGTCGTCTCTTTGCACCTTTCTGCTGTTCTGCAGCTCGAAACTAACCTCGTACTCTTTGATGCTGCGTCGCAGTACCTAAAACAAGACGAATGTTTACTCATCAAAATTTAACCTTATCAGAGCTGATCACTTAGCAGAGTTCAGGTAATGGATAAAATCGGCGAGGTTGAAGAAATTCAAAATTTTTAAATTGGAACGTTATCGAGATCATTATGTGTGTCAAATAATTAGAAGTTTATGTGATGTTGGTTTTCCGAAATATTGTAATGGAATATTAGCTGACACTTTAAATTCTCCCTATATCGTCCATGTCTTATGCTCCAGTAGTGAAGATATCAATAGGCTGATGATGAGTGCTTCTCCCTATGCCATCAATTTGAAGTCTTCCAGACCGATGCCGACGTTAGTTTTATTCATGTCCACACATTCTCTTTATTGGATACTCAAGCAGTGATGATATTACTCGTAATAGGATGATGATGAGTTGTGCAACTTTCGCATTTGTGTAGTTTTGCTTCAGTGAGCGCCCGAGCTAGGGCTTTAAGACCGAGGCAATGCAAGCCCGCGTTAGAAGGCGTGGCTTCCTCGTTGTTGTGTTTGCCCCTATTTCATCCATGGTCTATGCTCCAACTTCAGTGAATATACAAAATAGGCTGATGATGTGTTTACTGTTACTTACGCATTTGTGTAGCTTTGCTTCTGTGAGTGTCCTGGCTAAGTCTTCGAGGTCGCGGCAAATGCAAGCCTTCGATGAAAGGCGTGGCTTCCAAGCTGGAGGTCCCTATTCCATCCATGGTCTATACTCCAGCAGTGAATTGGCATTAATAGGCTGATGATGAGATGTCGATTCTCCTTTGTCTGTCTTTAGGAAGAGCCTTGTACCCAGCAGAGACGACATCAATAATTGTGTTACTTACGCATTTTTGTAGTTTTGCTTCAGTGAGTGCCCTGGCCAGGTCTTCAAGGCCGAGGCAATGCAGGCCCTCGTTGGAAGGCGTGGCTTCTTCACTGGTGGTTCCGGACTGCGCAGACGATGTGGATGAAGGCACCTCCTCCACGCCTGTGATGACGTCGCGTACGGGGGGAGATTGGAGTGGCGTTTCGACCGTCTCCTGTGGAAGAAACGGTAGTTTTGTCTCTCGTGGTGATACAACAAACGAAATTTTCGCCCTTTGACAAATTTGCCTGACAAAAACATGAGAAAATTCGGCTAAATTGGAAGTGGTAAAGTTTCCAAAGCAGAATGTGACTGAATTAATTTGAAATAAATACGAGTTACAAAGAAAAAAGATACATTCATAACGAGAATTTTGTGGAACAACACTTTAAGAATTTTTATCTGAAACCACAGACTTGACTTTGGAAGTTACCTACTTATTTAATATTCACCATTAGAAAACTATATTCTTTACAATTAACATAGGCTATTTATATTTTATCGTATTACACCTTTGTAATAGTTATTTACAAACATGTAACGAACAAAAAGTAATGCACAATTTAGCACTGAATGTTTAATATAATAAAAAGATCACTGAGAATGGCAGGACTAGATATATTTCTGTCCACTACCTGAGAAGAGTCTGAAGGCTTCTCTTGAGAGTCGCTGGAGCTGTCGACGCTGTTGTTGAATAGCATCGGTTCGTGCTCGTGGATGGTAGCCAACTCTCCGTTCGTTCCTCCAATCACCTATCGATGCAATCAAAGAGTTTGTTTGAGAACTTCATAGTTTTTTTATACACAAAGGCTCAACTCACATTGGCGCATAGTCGAAACGACGTGACGCGTTTCGCCTGTATCAAATTAATCTCTATTTTCCTACTCCTTTAAGGTATTCCAGAGGCAAAAAACATGACGCAACTCTGCGCCAGTGTGAGTTGAGCCAAACAGGTGGTTATTATAATCCCTCTCCATCGCCGATAAGCTTCTATCTCTAAAACCTGGCATTACTAACGAGCATACTATAAAAACTAAATAGCTTAAAATATATCAATAACACATAAGCAACCACGTACTATATTTCCTAGTACCTGATTTCTGAACCCACCAATCCGTCCGCTTGCATAAGCGGGATCATAGGAGCGCTGCGTCAAGATGTTAGAAAATTTATTTCAAGTCGTGCACTCCACTTCGTTAAAGTAGGAAATCCTGAAAAGTGTAATACAAGTGTTCTATGCTCACTACACTGGCAGATCCGTTCTCCACATGACTAAATGAACTTGCGGCCATTTTCTTACTGATTTCTAGCCTACAGACATAGTGAATTCTGCGCTACAAATTTCGCTGCCAATGGCGCTCCAATCTAAATGGTAATCTCCTAATCCTTACCGCATCAAGACTTGACGTAACCAGCGCTCGTTTAATGAACCTGTATCGCTCTTACAGATGCCTAGCAGCCCCTCTTTCGGCAGAATGTGTAGGTGGCCTATCTCTTGTTGCTTCGAGTGACAACAACATTCGCTGCACGCAAAGCTTTTCTGCCGCTTACTGCGCTGCCAATGGACATTCCAATCTAAATGCTAAGTCTTTAAATCCCTACCGCTGCCAACTGTACCGAAGAAGGACGCTCCAATCTAAACGGTGTATTTAAATGTTTACCGCATCAGGCCTCGACGTGGTCAGGGCTCGTTTGACGGCCCTGTATCGCTCGTAAAGATGCCTTGCCGCTCCTCTCTCAGCAGAATGCGCAGGTGGCCTGCATCTAGCTGCTTCGAGCTGCAATAACACTCGCTGCGACACAGCTTCTCCGCTGATAACTGCGCCGCCGATGTGCGCTCCAATCTAAATGGTAAGTCTTTAAATCTTTACCGCAGCCAACTGCACCGTAGAAGGACACTCCAATCTAAACGGTGTCTTAAAATCCTTACCGCATCAGGCCTCGACCTGGCCATGGCTCGTTTGACGGCCCTGTATCGCTCGTAAAGATGCCTTGCCACTCCTCTCTGCAGCAGAATGCACCGGTGGCCTGCATCTAGCTGCTTCGAACCGCAATAACACTCGCTGCGACAAAGCTTCCCCGCTGATAACTGCGCCGCCGATGTGCGCTCCAATCTAAATGGTAAGTCTTTAAATCCTTACCGCATCAGGCCTCGACGTGGCCAGGGCTCGTTTGACGGCCCTGTATCGCTCGTAAAGATGCCTTGCCACTCCTCTCTCAGCAGACTGCACCGGTGGCCTGCCTTTTGCTGCTTCGAGCAGTAACAACACTCGCTGCATGCACAGCTTCTCTGCTGCTTACTGCGCTGCCAATGAAGATTCCATTCTAAATGCTAAGTCTTTAAATTCTTACCGCATCAGGCCTTGATGTGGCCAGGGCTCGTTTTACGGCCCTATATCGCTCGTACAGATGCCTAGCAGCGCCTCTTTCGGCAGAATGCGCTGGTGGTCTTCCCCTAGCTGCTTCGAGCCGCAACAACACTCGCTGCACGCACAGCTTCTCCGCTGCTAACTGCGCCGCAGACCACCCCGCTTCTGCCACTGTCGAACGACCAGCCGCTTGCCGGCAACCGTCCAGCCACTATGAAATTTGCATTAATAGGTAAGCCGATTAATTAAGTAAGATTTGGTGGCATGGTCGATCGAACATTAAAAAATGCAGCCACTATTCAATAAGAAATCAAAAAAATTTGAATAAATACATAATCGCTAAGCTATCTTTGTTATATATTCGTCCCTATTTGGTATACTCTTGGTGGCATAAATAATTAATTCCAAAGATATTTTTTTTATTGAAGAGAGTAATTAGTATTTTATCGAGCAATAGAAAATGGATTTATTTTCCTGGCTAATTTCCCGGATAACGTCTTATAAATCGATGAACACTGCAGACTGACTGCATGCACGAAATAGTGTGACTTCATGTCACGAGTCACATTATGCGACGTCATGAGACGTTAGTTCAACGTTTTGCAGTGTGTGGTAGGGTTCCATCGACTCCGCCTCCCCCCTGACCTTCCTTCACCCCCTCCCCTTCTACCCCTTCACCTCCCCTCCTCCCTCTCTTTCGAAGAGTACCTCACCCCCACGGAGCCTCCATAGAGCTGCTGAGACGTGCTTGGACTCAAGCGAACCTAAGCAAAAAGCCCCACAAAACTGTCCCGAGGAAAATAGCGAACGACACGTTATCACGTAAAATTATAGTCTGTAAACCAACTTTACAGACAACCAATTTTTTAAACTATATTTAGTAGCAATAAAGAAGAAGTAACATATTTACAATTATAACGATTTTGTTACTCATAAGTACCTCTTCTATGTCCCGCACAATATCAGTCATGGGCTTATCACTCTTCAAGGCATCATCTAGTTTATCGTCGCGCTCCTTCTGCTGCTTGGCTGCTTGAACTTTCGAGGCGTACTCTACTGGGTCCGATTTGATACATCGCTTCTCCGCCTGTAGCCGCCGCAAGGTTTCATACATTCGGGTTAGCTGCACGTCAGTGATTCGATCGCTGGGCGTCAATTCGTGGCCGTTCTTCGCTTCGTAATCGCTTTCATACTTGGCGATAGTTTTCTTTAGTACGCTGATCTGAAACAGTTACATTTGGCTTTCGATATATAAAACATATAATAATTTAGCTGTTTGTTTCTTAGGTTTTCACGCACATCACTCATTAAATAAAACTAGTTTTTACGGGTTAATGCACGAAAACTTTATTTAATATTGGCTTTTCGTAGTCTTTACAGGCTACGTCGTCAGAATAAAACTTTTATTTAATTTGTCGAGCTACCTTCGAAAGACTTTTATTGAGCGTTTGGTTATTTCATTGTTCGATTTTTAAGTTTTATTGTCTATGTATGAATTTATTATTTAATTTACTTAACAAAGTATTTTATTTAAAATTCTTGTTTGTAATTTTGAGTTTATTTATTTGACCCTAACTACCGTAAACTACCACCGGTTCCAAAATTCAGGAAGGTCTCCCACCTTCCTGAGAAGAACCGGCGAAACAAACTCAAGAGAGGCTTTCTATCTCCTTCTTATGTTAAATTATGCAAACAAAAAGAACTAATAGTATCTGATGGTCTTGCAGTGTGTGCTCGGGGTTGGGATTTTATCTCCTGTATATTAGGTTCCCAAGCTGGTGGTATATACCAACCATCTTCCCTATTGAAATTTGGATATTTTTTAATCTCAATAGCCTCGCGCATCATTCGAGGAACGAACCGCCGCTCAGCTGCAAGGATCTGTGGTCTACCAAAACTAATGTAGTGATTTGGTCCCCCTAATGCATGTTCACACACTGCAGATTTATTTTCACGCCTATGTTTCATATCGTCAATAAATAAATAAAGTTTTCGTGCATTAACCCGTAAAAACTAGTTTTATTTAATTTAGCTGTTTCTGCAGTATTTGTGTTTTTCATTTAAGGGGTTATGAATTGGAGATAATCTTTTAACATTTTGAGAACTTTTTGTTTTTTGTTATTGTTGATTGCATCAAAATCATTAAATTTGTATACAAAATGCATAAGGCCGTTTCCAACAAAGGAGTAGCCATATTTTATGTTCCCTGATATGTGTAAATTTTACTTTTCATTTGGGAAATTTTAATGGTGCTAAAAAAACGAGGTTTGAACGATAGATCGAACACATGAACAAATGTTTCATCCCATTTTCTTGAATCCATAATAATCACACAAAATATCAGTCGAGGCATAAGTAAGGTCGATTTTATAAGAGGGCTTCTAGATGATTTTCAAGTAACTTTATTCCGCCAGTAGAAATATTTTGATAAAAGCCGAAATAGCTGAAACAACGGAGATGCGTAACCATCCTATTTCCCTGGCTTCGAATATTCCTTTGAAGAATTTTTAGGCAGATAATTCTGTTTTCCTCGCACCCTCAGTTTAGCGTTTAGCTCTGCCGAATTATGCTTCCAGGAAGCAAACAAAAAAATGTAACAAGAGAAAATTCTTCTCGGAACACTCGCCATGATATAAACAATTGATAAGTAGCCATTTACCCCATCAAGACCCACGTGGGAAGGGGTCTTGATTTAGATAATAAATATTAGGCTAAAAATAAAATATCAACATAGTCTAGTGATATTAGTCAAAACAAGGCTAGAATCTCCGAATTTGAGAAAGTAAGCGCTAATAGTAACGCTTTTCTTTATTCAATTCACTATCAAAAAAGGTATATTTAGACCTTTTTAACACTAGCGCATCATCGACGTATCATTGGTCGTTTGTGTTTTTTGGCGATTATATTTAACAGGTGCGTAATTGTTATTCTGATATTTATTATAGAGACCTCATTTATAAAACTATTTTATTTATTTATTTATTTATTTATTTAATTCTTAATGCACAATTGTACAATGGCGGACTTAATGCCGTAGGCATTCTCTACCAGTCAACCATAGGGTGTTGTGGAGAAGATTAGTGGTAGGGTGCACATGTGAGGTGGAAATCACATTTAAAGCAGTAAATCACATTTCAACATAAATATTATATTAATATATAATAATTAAATTACACAGTAATTATATACAATTACATACATATATATATATATATATACATACGTAAACATATAATAAAATAGCACTACATAAAATTAATACATAATAATGACGACTAACTACTGAACGAAATTGTCTGTTCCAGTAAAAAGCTTCGCAGCTTGGTTTTAAAGCTATATTTGCTGGTGGACATTCTAATGGCCAACGGGAGTTCATTCCACAAATGAATTGTTTTGATGAAGAAGGAAGAGTGAGTGATATCAGAGCGGTGAGAGGGAACGACAAGTAAACGATTAGAAGAAGATCGAAGGTTTTTAGGATGAGAGGTACATAAGTACTGAAATTGAGAAGTGAGATAAGGGGGGGCATTTGGAGAATCTAACAAAGAGAACAAAGTGGTCAGAGCCCGCATACATCTGCGCTGCCTAATAGGCATCCATTTTAAGTCAGAACGATACGCGGACACATGATCATATTTTCTGAGGTTAAAAACGAATCGAATGCAGTAATTCTGAAGTCGATCAAGTTTATTGAGTAGATCTGCATTCAGGTCGAGGTAGCACACATCACCATAGTCAATTATGGGAAATATTAAGGTTTGCACAAGCCTTGCCTTAATATTGACCGGCAGAAAATTTTTCAGGCGATAAAGAGCACGCAGAGTTCCCGTTACTTTTTGACAGACACTACTTACTTGATCTTGCCATTTAAAACTCGAGTCCACATATAATCCTAAATCTTTTACGACATTGCTGAAAGGAACTGCAGTGCCGTCATAAATAATGGAACTAAGACCGCTGTTGTTAATTCTGCTCATCATTCTTGACCCACCTAATAAAATGGCTTGGCATTTTGAAGCATTGACAGTGACACCGAAACTATCCGACCATGTTTTGATAGCGACTAAGTCACTATTTAAAGCATCAATGGCGTCGTTTAAGTTGTCAATGCTTGCCTCTGTATATAGTTGTAAGTCGTCAGCATAAAGATGATACGAACATTGAAGTTTGTGAGTGATAAAGTCAATAAAAGTTGAGAAAAGAAGAGGAGAAAGAATACCGCCTTGGGGAACACCAGTTTCCAGACTGCGCCAGGATGAGAAAGAATCCCCAGACTGGACTAACTGCTGGCGGTCCCGAAGATAGGATGAGAACCAAGTCAATGCTTCGTCAGAGACCATAAGATGGGATAGTATGGAAAGGAGAATATCGTGACTGACAGTATTAAAGGCATTGGAGAAATCGATCAGAACTAAGCACGTGACTTTACCATTCTCCATTCCCGCCCTAATATCACCAGTCACCTTTAAAAGCGCTGAAACTGTGCTATGTCCGGGCCTAAATCCGGATTGGAGAGGGTTCATTAATGAGTTTTTGTGAACGAATTGAGAGAATTGCTTATGGACACAAGCCTCCAGCACCTTTGACATAAAAGGGAGGATGGCAATCGGCCGAAAATCATTAGGCTGTGTTGGATTGGGAACTTTGGGAAGGGGGCGTACAAAGGCTTTACGCCATAAAATAGGAAAAGTGCCAGTGTCAAGAGAGGAATTTATAATATGGGTTATAGCAGGAAGAAGAGCGTCCAGAATAGTGATGATCATGCGACGACTAATATCGTCACATCCTATCGCGTTAGATTTGATCGAAAGTATTATCTTCTTAATCTCTGACGATGTGGCTGGTGAAAAATGGAAAGGGGCAATGTTAGGACGCGTTAAACCATCTATAGAGGCAACAGTGCTTGTTGTAAGAGAACGATCCAGATTTATAGTGGAGGTAAAATGACAATTGAGATCGTTTAAGTTTATTGATTTAGATAGGTCCAAATGTCGCGATTTGCCGATACCTAGCGTTCCGAGAAACTTCCAGATATCAGCAGAAGATGAAGAAGAAAGATTGTTGAGAATAAATCGGCGTTTGGCGTTACGTATCATCTGATTACATCTATTCCTAGCAGCCTTGAAGAGCTTCCACTTTTCGTCAGAGCGATCCTTTCTGTAACTTCGAAATGTACGATCTCTTCGTCTCATCGCCATCTGAACACCCACTGTCATCCAAGGGGCTGGTTGACGCTTTAGTCTCACCTTTCTGACGGGCGCGTGGACATCGTAAATGTTTAACATAGTGTCTTTAAATATTTTAACCTTTTCATCAACAGTAGAAGCATTAAACAAAGGGTCCCAGTTGATCTCCGAGACATCCTTTTTTAGTTTGCCTAAGTCCATACGCGCGAATGAACGCCTGTGCAGAACCTTGGGAGAGGATTTGGGAGGCTTAAAGAGATAGGAAATAAAAATGAGGTCGTGATGGGAGAAGCCAGGAGCGATGTGTTGACCATGTGATGTGACAAGGGAGGGATTGGAGGTGAGGATTAAATCCAGCCATGTGTCATCACCACAAGTATTTTGGTGAGTAGGCTGAAGAGGTATAACATGAAGGCTGGTGGACCGAACAATATGAAGGAGTTTACGGGATCGTGAGGAATCGGTTGCTAGGAGATTGGTATTAAAATCACCCATGATGATAAGATGTGCATACTCAGACCCCAGAGATTCTAAAACCGCTTCAAGTTCGGTGAAATAATCGACAGTGGGGGGACAATAAACTACACCAATAACTGCCTTAGCACGACCCGTTCCAATCTCCAGAAAAAGATACTCAGAATTGGAGTCAGAGCTGGAGGAAGCTATAATTTTGTACAAAAATGAACTACGTAGGTAGACAGCAACACCACCTCCGCCTCGGTCACGACGATCATTCCGAATTAGGGTAAAACCAGGGAGAGAATATGCGGAAGATTGGAGATGTGGTTTTAACCATGATTCGGAAATGAGGATAGCATGTATATCTCGGCCAGAGAACACATCAAGCATTTCGTCATAATGGCTAGGTACACTTTGGGCATTAATGTGACATATATTCAAATGATATGGAGATTGATCGAAAGTTCGAGCCAAAAAGTCACCAAGCGCGTCAGTAGCGGAACAGAAGCTTTCACTGTTAGAAGAATCAACAGATTCGTCATCAGCAGAAAAAAAGTCGTCGTCTAATATCATAAAC